AGCATTTTGAAAAACCCTACCTTAACTCTGGTGCCGTGTCACATATAGAAATTTTTTGATATTTGCAACCATAGTAAAACAAAGATTTATATTTTTGATATTTATTTTATATATTTAAATGCCATTTAACAAAGAAAAATCAACCAAAAAAATGAGTTCGTGTGTCACCTCTGACACGCGTGTCATAGGTTCGCCATCACTGGCCTAGTCTGTAAGGTCCTCCTCAGCCAGGGCCTTGTAGATCTGCCTCACCACTGTCTCCCTGCGCCCGGCACAGGTCGGCACATGGGAGCACACAATGTGTGAATGTACAACACAGCTACAAATACATTATGGATAAGTACACACATTTTACATGAATTTTGAAGATAAACTGAGACTGTGGTGATGTCATCATTAGCTGTCTGTCCCTCAGACACGAGCCCTGCACCGATGGTAGATGTTCACAACCCCTCTCCGCTCCTAGCAGTGCTTTAGGGAATGTTTGAGAAGTCCTAGACCAGACTATGTCTTTGGTGACAGCCTAGGGGTCTTGTGAAAACACAGTAAATTAGCAAGCAATAAGGCGGTCTATGACTCTAAACAGAGATGTTAAGAGGGACTCCACTTGACAAAATTAACACTTATGTTTCAAATCCTAGGTGAAATTTTGTAAGGGGAAGTAGGAATGAATAGCCTAAGTTTTATTAACAACACTGTAAGAACTTTTCAAGAGGAAAAGTTTTGCCTTTCATATTGAAAGGAGAGAATGGACAAAAAAAAGTAAAGATGCTGCTGGTTCAACTCTGCAGCTGATGATAAACACCCCCACTTCATAATGACAACAAATACTGAAATGGAGCGGGCAGAAAACAATTCTGCTCGGATTATCCCACTTTGAAGCCTTCTCTCTTTGGTAGACCAAGAGACACCTATGTAGTATTTCTGCATCAATGCGGGAACTGAAATTGGATCTGCTTCAGTTTCTCAAGTGTCTGTCATCCAGCCTCATGCTTCAGCAGCCTGGTCAGGGTTGCTGGAAAACAGCATTTTTAAACAACAAAATACTAAGAAGCTCAGAAGGTCACTGATTGTGAGGATGAACTTGACAAAGGGAAAACTTGATGAACTCAGGCCTTTCCCCACTAAATAAAAGGTCAGTGTATTTTACCAGCTAAAGCAGGGGACTTGACAGGCTACTTTTCATTATGTCAAAAACACACCCACCCAACTGTTAAAATTAGTAAAGAGGTTTCAGCTAATTCTTCTAAAATTGGATTCTCCATTTACATTTTTCTTAAACTGTGGAGACTTTCTGCCAGTACAGGTAGATTCCAAATGTCAAGTAGGTCAGTAATAAAATGCAAAGCTGGAGAGAAACTTTAAAAGAGACATTTAAAAAATGGGCCTTAGCAGAGAACTGACTGGAACACACTGTGAAAAGCTTACTTCAGTTCAGTACATGAATATTAATAGAAAAACCCTGCAGTGTTCATAAATAGTGTGATTTGATGAAATAATTACAAATGCAACTTTAAATTTTAGAACAACTACAAGTGTCTATAATGATATTCTCCTCCCCCACGCCCCCAAAAGCAAAAATATTTTAAAACCCTGCGGGTTTCCATTGACAAAGCTATTTACCTGAACAAAGAAGAATTCTTTGCTCAAATATCTATCACCTTCTGATTTTTTCACAAATGAAAACTGGGGAGAGAGTGCCAGAGGGAAGGGCAGCAGAGTATTTAACCATTAGGACAGCCATGAGGCCTACATCTTGGTTTAATAATGAAATAGTTTTCAATTTATCATTATTATTAAAAGGAGAGTCGTCACTCTGGAAAAAAGATGAAGTTAAAGGTTTGTGGGTAAACAACAGAAGTTCACTGTCAGCCTGTCAAAGGCAACTAACCCCTAATGAACAAACAGTGCGAGAACTGGCAACTCCACATGGCACACGTGTAATCTCAAGTGGTATGTCTCCCCTCTCACTGAAGTCAGGAAAGAGTAGCACAGAGACCAGTGCGTTTCTGAGCTCAAACAGGTGAAAGCTGTCTGAAGAGAGGGCTGAGCTCTCTCATGCAGGGGTGCCAGGCACTCTTGTACAAAGACTGAGGAGGTCATTGTGCTAGAGCAGCCGTGGGCGAACTACGGCCCGCTGGCCAGATCCAGCCCGTTTGAAATGAATAAAACTATTGAAAAAAAAGACCGTACCCTTTTATGTAATGATGTTTACTTTGAATTTATATTAGTTCACACAAACACTCCATCCATGCTTTTGTTCCGGCCCTCCGGTCCAGTTTAAGAACCCATTGTGGCCCTCCAGTCAAAAAGTTTGCCCACCCCTGTGCTAGAGGCTTAGGAAGTTCCGATGAGCGTTGCTAGCCTGACATCTGCCACCAAGTTCATAACTAAGTTCATGTGTCATAATGGGTAAGTAATAAGTATTTCACAGCCACTTGTGAGCATTAACATAATTTTTTCTCTTTTTTAAGTAAACGTATTTGTGTTTGCCTCTGACAAGAGGATTTTTGTCTTTTCATTAATCACCCTCCAAAACAAGTCCACTCCACAATACAAAGTTCAACAATACAAAATACGCCCTGCCTTTCCCAAATTGATGTTAACTAAACTTCTTTGCCAAACTGCAGATCCTTCTGTTTCATGAGGCCAGACTTAATAAAGGAATAGCAAGGGCTTCTTATTTTAAAAAGCTTTTTGGATGAAGAAAATGGACAGTAATTTATGTAAATGCACCAATCTCAATCAACTTCCCTAGTATGAAAGGAATAAATAATGCAGGTCACCGTTTTTCGGATAACGAGTCCTAACTCTTAGCCAAGGATATGGCAAAGATTCTGATGGAAATATCAGGACATGCATACGGAGGTGAACGTAAATAAATGTGTGTATGATAAACATAGAAAAACAGGTATCCAATTGGACAGAGATGGCTGGGACAGAGGGATAGCGGCATCTCAAGAAGTTTCATGGTCTATCTGTGACAGCACAGTTTCTATTAAGAAGGTTTAAAAAGTTAGTTCTACCTCCTCTTGGATAATTCAGAATAATGCTATCTTAGACTATAAGAGATCTGTCACAAAATACACTGTTATGTAAACAAATTCAGGAACAAAACATGAGAAAAAATAAGGACCCTAAAGGCAGATGAATGCTTAATAAATATCTTTAAATATCTGGAGCTGTTTAAATGCTATTCGATTGGCATCTAGAACTCCAAAGTAGCTACTTTCCTCTGGGAAGAGGAGGGTATGCCTCTTCAATCATCCCTAAATGCAAAGAGGTTTGACCCCCATGCAATGGATAAAAGTCACCCAAAAATGAACAAAAGAGGTGTTTGGAAAAACCAGAACACCATTCATCCCAGCTAACGACTTGTTCATTATGAGTGATGATGGATAAAGACTTCTCATGCTGAGATGAAATCAAGATTTATATGCATTGTTTCCTCTCCCAACTTGTGGGAAGATCATCATCATTTAATTCTATCTCTGCGGCCAGTGATGGGCATCCAGAGAGCTGGTTATCAAACGGCGCAGTCAGCTGGCAAAAGCCGAAACGTGCAGTTGGCACATCTGGACGGAGCCGCCACAGCCGAGGGTGAACAATGACTCCTGGCAAGCATCCAAATTGCTTGCAGACGCTAGCAGGTCTCATCTACAACCGCCCCTACCAGCATCTCTCTCTCTCTCTCTTTTATGAGAATCAGATTTTCATTGCTCCATTCAATTGCTCTCCTCTGCCATTTTTTACAGCTCTTATCGTTCCCCTGGAATATGGCCTTGAGACAGCTCATCCGTGTCCTTCACTGTGTTATCTCTTCTAACTTTTATTAAAACTTCAGCTTTCATCTAAAGATAGCTAATTAAATCTGGAACAGATTATATGCCTCCCCTTAAAAAGAACACAAACCTATTTTCTTCAACCTGAACAATGATGTTTTTCCTTTCCAAAAGATGAAACCAAAGGTGTTTAAGAAGTTTCATTTACTTACAAAGCTAAGATACCTGACATGTCTTATGTAGGTTGATTTATATTAAAGATGTCTGTGGTCTGGCAAACCTTTTAGCTATTTTTCAAAATAATTCTTTCTCTATATTGGTAATATTTTTTTCCATATCCTTTAAATACCATAGCTAATGCCATAAGCTTAATTTCTGTATAAAGTTGGGTAATGAAAAATTAGAGATTAACAGACATTTCTGTCAATCAATTGATTTATCTTAAAAAAAAATTTTTTTTACGGTTGTCCTCATTTGGTAAAAATGCATGTTTCCCTTTTATTTCATACTGCAAACACTACAAATTAATAGTTTTCTCTACTGAAAATTATGTGAAAACATGAAATTAGAAGAATTACTGCAAATTTAGGACTGATTTGGTTTTCAAGACAGTTTTACACCAACTAATAGTAAGCTCAAGTAGCTTTGTCTTAATCTATCACAAATTATTAATGACAAAGCTTCATAATCAATATGAACACATTCTTCTCACATATACCACTGACTCAGTACCTTCTTTAGGCTTAGGGGCAACTTAAAAATCACTTTGTTGCCCTAGCCCAAGCATGCAAGTTTGACATGCTCGCGCCGGTTTGGCTCAGTGGGTAGAGCATTGACCTGCAGACTGAAGCGTCCCTGGTTTATTCTGGTCAAGGGCATGTACCTTGGTTGCAGGTTCAATCCCCTGCCCTGGTCAGGGTGCATGTGAGAGGCAACCAATCGACGTGTGTCTCTGTCTCTCCCCCTCCTTTGCACTCTCTCTAAATATCAATGGAAAAATATCCTTCGGTGAGGATTAAGCATAAAAGGCAAAAATAAATCACTTTGTTCACTGTAGACCTGCTAAACAAACTTTCTAGCAGCAATATCTGGAACATCTAGAAGCCAGCCATCACACAAACATGCACATATGCACATGCAAGCACACGCACGCACACACCAAGCACTTTTAACCAAGGTTTTAGCTTATATTGCCAGGGTATAATTTAACTATGCTACCTGAAATTTTCTGAGATCCTTTTCTTCTCTTCACTGCCTTTAGCAAGATTTCTTTCATGGTGACCTTTGTGTTGTCCACCTGAATAAGGGAGAATCCATGAGCAGCATTTCTGTAGGAAAAGACAAATATTAAATCATCACCAACACTCAACCAGAGGGATAGTATATTGCAGTTTTCACTGTGTTTAAGAAAGTTTTAGTAAGTGTACATCAAAGTGCCAATTATTTAAAAACAGGTTGAAAAAAGCTACTTCTAATAAGATAGAGATGGAGACAGAGGCAGAAAAGCATTCTAGTATGAACAGTCCCAAGTGAAAGAGAGGTCAGAGTTATGGAAGGTTTTTCTAATTTATCTCAAATTGAATCTAATTGGTCTGTGTGGGTCACTCATACCGGCTCCCAAGCCAAATCCTGCAGCAAGGATTGACAAACGATAAACTTGGCTTGTGTCAGTAGATGTCACTGCAGGCAGACACTGCCATCATATTAAAGCTCATGGAGCCTGGGAGGAAAAATGTCATGTATGTGTTTGTGTGTATGGGGGCGGGGGCATCTGACAGCCCAAAGCAATTTAGAATAAGGAAAAGAAAATGCTCTTCTTAACTAGCCAGTAAAAGAAACACCCTATATTTACATATTTTAAAAATATATATACTCTAGGTACACTTCAGTAGGAATGTTTTAATCTACCTAGTCCTAAAAGGTCAAACAAAATACTAGCTGAAGCATAAATAATTACAAGGCAAAATAGGAACATATCACTACTTGTAAGCCTGTAGCCAATCAAACCTAAGGGGGGTGAGGTGGGGTTCACATCTAGATAGGAAGAAACTGGTAAGGAACAAGTACCCTAAAAACAGAAGCCCACCTTTGTTGAGACACAACTTCGCTAAGACTGGTAATTGCAATAACAAGCATCACAAGTACTCCTCACTATGCTTGGGCACTGGGACAAAACGGGCCAATTCCAAGAAGCTCGTGTAACAAATGGGACCCGAGTTTCCAACTATGGAACATGGGAATTGCCACAAGGAGTTTGGTTGCATTCCCATTCCCCATAAGAATCTCAAAGGGGCAAGTGGCCAAAAAACATGGCAGAACTTCAGATTGACAAGGAATCTGAAACAAAAGCCAAGCCCCAAGCTAAGCCAGGGGAGGGCTTCCTGGTGGTAGGAGAGGCTGAAGGGGCCTTAGCCCTAGCTTGGACCCAACCAGGTGGCTGGCTTGCCACAGGGGCTAGGGGCTGATCTCCAAACCAAGGACCCAATTTGCTTCCCTAATACAAAGACATCTCCACACCCCTCCTCTCCACACGGCTTGCTGTTTAATCCTTGACATTCCATTTGTTAAAAAGCAAAAGCCGACGCTGGTCTAGCCAGCACGATCATCCATTTTAACTTGGTCAAGTTCTTGCTATCGAACAGCAGGCCTGAGAACTGTCAAGCTAATTTTACTGAACACTCTGTTACTGAATCAGCCTGAGCCACGGCCATTCTTTACCTCAGAAGCTGGACCCCATCCCAGAACAATCTTTAAAAGTTTATTTTACTGATCAAAGCAAAATAAGAAATAGCTCTTTTTTTAAGAACTATATTTAGGGAGTGATGCAGTAAGTGATACTTTGGCAAGAGTACTGAAATGTAAAGTGCCTTGTGCATTTATAAACTTGGGGGTATTTGCTCTGGCGCTAGGCCAGTGTGTGTTTGGAACGAATGCCAATCATCCGCGTTCAGACTTGCTTCCCCTGCTCTCTCCTCAGAAGCCAGGGTGCGCTCCATCTGTGACAATATGTTGGGCGATGGATGAATAGGGCCTCAAAGGGAACACAAGTTCTCGGGTACTCACGCACTGCACTGGGCTGGGTCTCACCAACTTCCATCCACCTGGCTTCCACCTCAACTATTTTAGATGTGTCTGCTTATAAACTGCTTACATTCTCTCCTAATCTGCCGCTGGCTGATAGCATTATTTCAAACCAATATGTTTATCTTTTTCAGCACAGGCAGACTAAAAGCTCGAAAGGAAGCCTTGTGTTTGGACTAACTTCCATAAATTAAAAGTGTCCTTTTAAAAGATTGTTGAGCGGGGGAAAATCCCTGGTCTGTATTTTGCTGCCATTTTACCAAAACGTACCTGGGTGACAAGGTTAGAGCGAGCCGAGGAAATCCCTGGCACTTCTCATCCACAGGCATTACTGATAAATTGTGTGGTGGAGGAATAAAGGATTACCTTCTGTATTTTTTCATTACACTTTTCTTTTGTTACAGAATACATAAATCCATTGTGGCACAATGTAATATGTATCACCATGCTACACCTGCGGACGCTTCCGAGCGGCTGCCATGTCTGTGCAGTCAGGAATGATAAGTGAACCACCCGTGAATGTTAACGATAGTGATCATTCTGAGGTAACTCGGCTCTCCATCTTCCTTTACAGCCTCCGTGCTGAAGCCAGGGTAGCAAGGTTCACGAGAGGAAAATGAAAACAACAGTGAAGGGAAGGGGCACGCACGGCTCGGAATGTGCCTTCTCGGGTGCGCGCTATCTTCCTCTGGGGCTCCATTGCGGTAAACACGTGCACGTTAAAAGGAGAGCGGGGTTGCGACCCACACGCTGCACACTCGGGCAGACCTAATGAAAGTCTCCTCGGGGCAGTCTCGCACTCCACACTTCTCTCCCTTCAGATGGGTGCCAACTTTGGACCCTGTTCCAAGTCTACAGCACTTGCGGGGGTAAAATGTCTCTAAAACACAAGAGTACAGAATGGAAGTGCTTCTCAGAACCCATCGAGGTGCAACTGTTAAGTTCTGCTCCCATTTAATAAATGGATAGGGAGACTTGCTACCACAATTTTCAGCTTGACTTCCAAACATTCTGAGTTTTATGCCTCATTTCTTCATATCCAGGATTTTTTATGGGCTTTCTAAAAAGTCTATTGAAATACATCTTTTAAGGCTGCTTTTATTCAATGCTGAGCATTGGGCCTGAGATTGAGAAGACCAGGATCTTAGGGGAAATGCTAGTGGCAGGTGGGAAGGGTGCTCGTCCTGCCTCCCTTTCTCGTGGCGCTGCATTCCAGTCTCAGAGGTGTGACCTGGGATGGTGGAGACTAGCCCGCAGATGGACAGGTGGACGATGGACAGGCAGGTGGGCCGCAAACCCAGAGTCTTGACTCAGAAACTGCTCCTCCTCCTGCTCCTCTTGTGGGTAGATAGCCTGTTTTCTGCCAGCGCAGGGCACCCTAGGGCACTGCCACTGAGAAGCAGCTGCCCTGCCGCAGCTCCCTGGGCTGCCTGCGCTGGGTGTAGACTGAAGCGCCACTTCAGGGAGCTGACTAAACGGCCAGGAGTGCTTCAGTCAATTCAAAGTTAGGTCCTGTCAAGTCTCGTAACCACTGAGAAACGTATGGGCGTTTTAAAAAGAGATTTCTCACTTGAGGAATTCAGCGCTGTCCCAGTGCAAAGCCAGTTACCAGCAGGAAGTGTTTATACCAGCATTAACCTAACACAACAAGCGTTTCTCTACTAAGCACTAAACTAGAAGTGATGGGGCACAGAGGGGAAGCAGGGGCACAGGTCTTTATCTAAAAAGCTTATTTATAGGGAGCGAGCTGGAACCAGAACCCAAGTTGGTAGGCAACATATTAGAGAGGAAACGCATGGGCTGGGAGTTAAATCCCTTTGGTTCCAATCCTGGTTCCATGGCTAACCGAATATTGCCTCAACATGTGGAACCTCA